AGAAGTCTGTGATGTGTTTGACGACTTCAGATTTGTGAACTAGAGGAAACGTCCAACAAAAATGTGAGAAGTCGTCCAAAATAACTAGGTAGTAGCGATAACCAGAAACACTAGCTACCGGAGAAGTCCAGACATCACAATGGACTAACTCAAAAGGAGCAGAACTGCGAGAGCTGGAATGAGAGAAAGGTAACCGCACATGTTTCCCTAATTGACATGAGTGACATAGAGTGTGACTGTCTTTATTACAAGTAATTGAGGAGTTCTGTCGAAGTGTAGTGATGGCGACAGGGCCGGGATGACCGAGACGGAGATGCCACAAACTGGAGGAGACGGCGAGACCGGCGTGGGGCGCTGCAGAGCTGGCGGCTAGAGCTATGGTGTAAAGATCGCCGGCGCTATTGCAGCGAAGAATCACGCGTCTGGTCAGAAAATCCTTGACAGAAAAACCAAAAGCGTCAAACTCTATGGTGCAGTTATTGTCCTTAGTAAACTGACGAACAGAAATCAGATTATGTATTAAAGAAGGGACAACAAGGATGTTGTTAAGCTGGAAGCGGGAGGTGGGGGTGGTGAGGGTAGAGTTGCCACGACACGTGACTGGAAGGGTGTGACCATTACCTACAGTAATGGAGGAGTGAGAGGGAGGGAGGCGGGAAAGAAGAATACCATCCGAAGACGACATGTGGGCGGATGCTCTTGAGTCAACGACCCAGCTGCCGTTCTGCAGCGCCATCTGGTTCAAGGCAGCAACCAGTCCCGCCTGGTCCCAGGTGGGCGCCTGAGCGGGGGCGTAGGCAGCATGAGCCTGTGGGGGTTGGCCCAGGAGACCAGGGGCGCTGGCGTGCCAGCCCCGCCTCCCTGACTGCCGGCCTGCTGGAAGCTTGGAGCGCCGTAGGAGGTGGCTCCCGGACTGAAGCAGAACCAGGGGCCTGTGGGCCGAGGGTGGCCGGATGGTGCATGGAAGCCGCCGCCGCCCTTCTTGTGCTGCCACCTCTTCTTGCTGCCACTGCCGCTGGGGCGGCTGCCGCCGCCGCTGCCGGGCTGGACAGGGCCAAAAGGTGGGCGACACCCGCCTGTACAACCGGAGGAGGATAACGACGAGGCGTTCCCGGTGAGCAGGGCGGTGGAGGTGGAGACCTTCTCCTCATTAGCGAGGCGAAGTTCCTTCAGAGCGAGCATGTCCCGCGCCTGGGCGAAGGACGAGAAGCCGGCGGTGGAGTTGGTGATGTCGTCGGCTGTGGTGGTGAAGCGGGGGTTGAGCCCGCGGAGTAGGTTCAGGACAAGCTGCGAGTCCTGAACGGAATGACCGACGTCGCGAAGGGCGTCGGCGAGAGTCTTCATGCGGCCGTAGTACTCCCGATGGAGGAGTCGCCCTGCGTCATGGAGTGGAAGTTGTGGCTGAGGAAGATCGCCCAGGACTGCCGGTTGGCGCGGAAGAGTCCCTCGATGGCGAGCCAGAGTTCCCGGGCGGTCTGGTCGTCATCGGTCATGGCGAGGTCGAAGACGGAGTCGTCGACGGAGCCGAAGAACCAGGAGCGGACGCAGCAGTCCGCTTGATCCCAAGCAGGGTCCTCGGGGCGAGGTGCCACCGTGCCGTCGATGTGCAACCAGAGGCCGAACTTACCGCACATGGACTTGAAGTAGGACGCCCATCTGGAGTAGGCAGTGGACTTCATTGTCAGCGTCACGGGAACGTGAGACTTGACGTTGACGGTGGCATAGGGGTGGACAGCTGAGGACGCTGCCAGAAACAGGATGAAGCTGCCGCTGCCGTTGCCGGTCGGGTCGCCGGCAGGAGTGCCAGAGGAACCGCCGGTGCCAGTGGGCGGCACAGATGGGCCACCGTTGGCAGCAGGGGGCGGTCCAGAGGGCGGCACTTGGCCAGCAGGAGGGGCGGCGGTGTCGCTGGACCCAGAGGGGACGGTGGCCATGGCACAGTAGGGGGCGCGGGTCAGAAGGGAAGGCGCAGGGAGAGGAGAGAAATCCCAGGATCTAATCCTTTGATACCATGTGGAGAAGATTGGGAAACACCACACCCCTAATGAGGGGGGGTGACCTCTATTATATAGCCAATCAGGCTTGTAGTATAAGGAATACAATCAGGTGTACATGGAAGGAATAAAGAACTTCCTAATACACATATATACTTCCTAATACTTTGGTTAACACTTCTACCCAAGAACTGACTGTATGATTACTATTTTCCTTTAAAGGAGAGTTAACTACCTCCATCATATTAGGATTCAGCGAGGGGACAGTCACAGAATCACACATAACATCTAAATTAACAGGAAGATTAACAACAGAATTCTTATCTATGAATTCACATCTACTGGTCAATTCTTTCTCTTTCAACATAGCAACATTATGATTAATCATAATCTCATCCGATCCCAAATTGATATCGACACAACTTGCTTTATCAATTAAAGAAGAGTTACTCTCAAGAGTAATAGAGAAGGATGAGTATGGTTTAGTACATTGGCAAAGGTTGACAAAATTCTTATACTCTTGAGCTTTTTGCATAACTGTCTTCCCGTCTTCAGGGTATCTTCTAGGCCTCGGCATCCTTTGAGTAGGGCCCCACTGAGTCTTTCTCTTTTGCTTTTTCCATTCTTGTTTTTCCTCATACAGAGCAGCCAAATCCAGGATATCACTGTCCCCCAAATTAACATCTTCCAGAGTGACCATCTCCTGATCCTGATCTTCTGTTTCCTCATCCGAGTCCTGCAGCTCCATCTTGAGTAATAATTGAGAACATTCCTCATGAGAGCTTCCAACTTTAGCCATTCTCCTAAATTCCTCCCATTTTGAATGCTGCGACTCATCTTCCAGCAAGCTCTGCCACTTGTTACCAACAATTTTACAATCTGAAGGAATCTCAGAGAGCGTGGGTTCAGGTGTACCAAACTCTACCACCTCAGAAATAGAACTGGAGCTCGCGCTTGTTCCCGAAATAGGTAAAACCTGGTCCACTGTAAGCTGTTTCCCATCAGAGTTAGGTATGACTACTGAAATAGACACACCCGGATCCTCGAACTCCCTCACATCAGTTACAACCTTATCCAAGTGACCTAAGAACTCAGGTTCTGGTCCACCATGGAGGATAGCTTCAGATCCCAAATCCACATCAATGTGAATTGGGTTTTTTTGTTCCTCAATCCCTACAGCTGTCACCAGCTTAGACGGTATCCCCTTCATAAGAAGAGCTAGCTGTGCCTCTTGATCAATCATCTCACAGTCAGCTACTTCAGTAGCCACTGTTTTGTGTCCAGTATTTGTCCCTGATTTGCTAGCTGGTGTTTTCAGATTGGAGCTCTCACTCATTTGAACCTCCGTAGACTTCTCCTTAGTTAGGTCTTCATCGTCATCTAAATCATCAGCTTCATCATCATTGTCTGGATTGTCATCATTCCCATCATCTCCTCCATCACCAGTATCTTTCACGGTCTTTTTCTCATCCTGTTCAGTCTCAACTGTAAAGGATACCACATGCAGTTTCCTATTCATCTCAAAGAGCCTCAGTAAAGTAATCTTCTTAGCATTTCTGTTTTCTATTCCATGCTTGTTCATGTTGTTTTTAATTGTATTCACTAAAACAATATTTACACTGTGTGTTTGGTTGTTCCTTTGATTTACTTTTCGTTCATTCGTGACCGAATATGTTCTATAATCTTATTGTTGGGGACCAATATTAAGGGTACCCGAAGAGGAGGGACTAATGACCGTCAACATTGATTCATCCGCGTGATCAAGAGCGCGACTACACCGCTTGCCAGGTCACTTCTCGTCCGTCCACCAAGACCATGGGCCCTGTCTCGTCTGACCCTCGAGGGTTGGCCCTGCCTCGGTGGGGGCTGTGGCCGCAGGCCCCGTCTCGCCCGACCCCCGACGGTTGACACCGCCTCAGGCTGACTCTCGAGGGCTGGCTCCGTCTCGTCCGACGTCTGAGGGCAGACTCCGTCTCGCCAAACCCCCGAGGGTTGGCTCCGCCTCGCCCGACGTCTGCGCGCTGCTCCTTCATAACTACGCGCGCAGATAAGGCAGGGCACTCAAGTCAACCGCAATACCGAGGACTATACCCTGCACGCCTGCAGGAAAGTATTGTCAAGATATAACCAGAAGGACGCTTTGAGACATTCCAGGCATGTCAGAGTCCAAACAGTGTTGTAGGCGTCGACATTTGTCTTACAGTGTTGTGGGCGCCGCCATTTGCCCTCGGACACGGATCCTGACAGAAGCACACGACAACTGCTACGGTCCAGGAGGAAACTCGCATCACCTATAGTAACGGACGTGCGGTCACTGCGCCGTCTGCTCCCCGTGGGGCCGCAGATCAGCACCTTGGTCCGCCGCGCCGCCCGCCGGAGCGGGATGGGACGTGACAACTTGCCGACAATTCTAGGACATGGCATCATCAACGGACAGACGCCCAGCGCGGCCCTATCAGGATCAGCGAACATGCACCCGGCGTAGAGCTATTCCTGGCACCGCCTGCCATGTCAGCGGGGCCCGCATAGAGGAAAAGGAAGACCCGGCATCTTTGAAGGACCTCCTTTGCCTCTAGTTTTCCTCTTTTCTCCCATTTGTAATCCCTGCTCTCCCTTGGCCTATAAAAGGGAAGGCAGAGAACCCCACTAAGGGGATCGATTCAAGACATCATGCATCACATCACGCATAGCTGAGCAACAACCAAGCTCTCAGCATCCATTCGACCTTTCCATCAGAGACTTGGGACCTGTCCCCCTCTTGCCCGTTTGTAACCCCCACTACGAACTTTTTCAGTGCTAATAACATGAGCAGCAGCTATGAACTGGACGTAGGGACATTCTGCCCGAACCAGTATAAACCTTGTGTCTTTTAGCACACCATCCGGGTCAGACGCGCAATAACACAAATTTACTCGTTGGTGTTTACTTGAAACACCGACACTTATGCGCAGGACAGACGCACAGTGACCATAAGCTACTGTTTACACCATTTTGTGTTTTTTGCAGAATCTCGGTGTCCCTCCTGATTTGACTTCATATAATATTCTTCTGAAGACATGCTGCAATGCCAGAGAATTCAACTTGGCTCAAGAAATTTATAAAGAAATGAAGAAAAAGGAACGTAATGGCCTTTTAAAGCTAGATGTTTTCACATATAGTACAATGATGAAGGTATGGGGGCTCTTCTTGTTGTTGTCGATGCATTATAGCTTTTTATGGTTTCCAGAATTCTTTTCTCTTTAAATTCCAGGTGTTTGCAGATGCAAAAATGTGGAAGATGGCTTCCAACATCAAAGAGGATATGCAAGTGAATGGGATTCTTCTTAACCTAGTAACATGGTCATCGTTAATCAACGCTTATGCAAATTCTGGTCTGGTCGATCGTGCAATAGAGATCCTTGAAGAAATGATAAGGGATGGCTGCCAACCTACAGCCCCATGCTTCAATATTATCCTTACTGCTTGTGTCAAGTCATGCCAATACGATAGAGCTTTCCGCTTGTTCTACAGTTGGAAGGAGTCTGGTATCAAGATATCTCTATCCCCTGAACAGAAGAGAGGTCTTGATGGTGGCTTTACATTCTGTAAAGAGTATCCTAGTAATGGCAGTACTATATTGGTGGTTCCATTCAGGCCAACAGTCACAACCTATAACATCTTGATGAAGGCTTGTGGTACTAATGCAGAACGTGCAAAGTCTGTAATGAACGAAATGAGGCGGAATGGCCTTTGTCCTGATCTTATTAGCTGGTCTATACTCATGGATATTTATGGAACTTCTCAAAATAGGGATGGAGCTGTTCAGGTTTCATGCTTCAAAGTTTTATGTTGATATCTTTTGCACAATATAATCTGCTATGACATTTGGCCTTATATCAACTTTTGTGTCAACTAAATATGCCTTCCTTGTTTGTATCCTGTTGAAGTATTCCATTTTATAAAACTTGATGTACCTCTTGTGGACAAAGAATCAAAGAACTAATAGATTAACTAGATGACGGAATAGATACTGAATTATTTTATGAATCCACTTAGCCTGTGGAGTTCTGGCTGCAAATGATCCTTAATTTGCATTCCATGGTAATTCACTCTCAGTATCACAGTATCTATGTGGCATGTCTTTCCATTTTTCAGTACTGCCCTTACACTGTTGACAATGTCCATGTGATTTTTTTCATCTGGATAAACATAACACTTACTTCCTTATTTCTTAATGTGGATTGTTATGGTTTTAGATTTTTCTTAATAAATAATAAATTAATTATTGCTATCCTTTTCTTTTTGACATAGGCACTAAGGAGAATGCAGCGAGTTGGGATGAGACTTAATGTCTCTGCATATACTGTTGCTATTAAGGTTGGTCACTGGAGAACACCTTTTACTTGGTTAATGGGCACTTCTTTTTATTTATAGACTTATGGTCTGCCAGTAAGCTTTTCTACAATGTCCTCCAGGCATGTGTTGAAAACAAAGATTTGAAGTTAGCACTGCACTTGTTTGAAGAAATGAAAACACACCAACTGAAGCCCAATTTGGTGAGTTTTATCTAAAATTTAGGTACAAAGCTTTGATGCTTTGCTTTTCCTTAACTATAAGATTTGATTCTTCCTGATGTAACATTTATTGTTTGGCCCATGAGCTATTTGGCACCTGGCAGCATTTAAGGTTCGTATGAAAGCTTAGGCTTTATATCGTACTAATGTGTTGTTAATTTCATCCAGAGTAGCTTGTGCCTGTTGCTGACTGCTAAATGCTTCGGATGCATGCATAATTTATTGGTGTCAAGTTATTTGGGTTGATTAGTTGGATATCCTCTGCTGCTTGTTGATGTTAGACGTTATGATATGAAACATGGCATAGTCAATGGTTTACTCTACATCAACCTGCAAAAATTCCATCGATGTAAATTGCATTTGACATAGTAGTTCATTTTCAGGTGACGTACAAAACTCTCCTGGCAGCACGCAGCAATTATGGATCACTACAGGAGGTCCAGCAGTGTTTAGCAATATATCAGGAAATGAGGAAAGCAGGGTATGTGACTAGAACGATAATATGCTGTTTCTTTGATACTTTTGAAGTCAGTACAAGTGCTTTTTCCTCGACAGCTCTACTCTTTCCTTATTATAAGATTACCGTTTTGACAGTAATTCGTGATTGCATTAAATAAAGAACAAAGGTTTATTTGATATAAATGCTCCAGTGTAAAATTCATGGAATACACTATAAATAATGGAAAACTAGAAGTGCTCCAAGCTACAACTGTTTTGACAACAAACAGGTATCAGCAGAGGATGTAATCCACTGAAGCTTTAGTTGTTATCTCATGCCTAGGTGTCAATTGCTTCTTATTCCACTATTCCATTGTAGGAAACATACTGACAGCCCAGTTTCGCATTCCAGGTATCAGGCAAATGACTATTATCTCAAGGAATTAATAGTGGAATGGTGTGAAGGAGTTCTGTCTAGCCGTAGTGATAATCAAGATTTTTACAATTTGGATCTACAACCTAAGAGGAAAGAATCGTTCAACCTGTTTCTTGAGAAAGTCGTAACAGTCTTGCAAAAAGATACTGATCAGAACCAAATTGTCGATGTTCGTGGCCTTTCGAAGGTAAATGAAATCCAACCGGTTCAAGTTATGATATGCAAATGATCTGCCACATGAACATGATGACTGATTTTGAATGATTTGTGATTTACAGAAACCATTGATATTTTTTTTTGGTGTTTACCCAAATACCATGTATTCTGCAGGTTGAAGCTCGAATTGTTGTTCTCTCTGTACTTCGAAAGATCAAAGAGCAATACCTCCTAGGTAATGTTGAGCTGTCACTTCCTTTCGTATTACAATAAAAAAGCATAGACGCTAAGCCTCTATTTTGATACCTCAATGCCGAAACATTGATCAGGAAGAGTGGTCCAGGATGATGTGGTTATCGTCACAGGTCATGAGAAGACATCAAGAGCTGAAGCTGAAACTAATGCAGTTGACGTCGTGCAGGCAATAGTTACTGTTTTGACGACTGATCTGGGTCTTGAAGTTTTGATTGGACCTGGAAGCCGCCCTCCTGTTTCATCAAAACCCAAAGCACCGACTAAATCTAGAAGTAATTTAGAGCAAATATCAAAAGAATTTACTAGGAGACCACAGGGAATGATAAAAATCCCTATCAACTCACTGAACCATTGGTTGAAGAAGAAAGCCGTGAGGACTGCAGAGTGAAATTTCCTTAAACTACCTTTTTGGTCCATTTAGTATACCAGTAAATTAGCACAGTTATTCCAGGATTGGATGTACATATGAAAACAGGTTACTGCTCCTGGTATTCCAGGCACACGACACGACTTGAAAAAGGGACTTGTTGGCAGGCAATGGAGTCTCGACTATTGTCCAGTACATTCAGACTTCTGTCTTGAGAATTTAATTGTCGCGTTTCTAAAGACATCAAAGCATGGACTTCCATACTGTTATATATCAATTTCCCGTACAGTTTCATTCAAATCGGGCTACCCCATTTCCATGTCAACACGGAAGTAATAAGCCCTACAGAAACAGAACACAAAACAACCAAAGTTCGAGAGATAGGAGGCCCAACCGATCTAAATCACCTGTGTTATTTATCAAACTCCAGTACATATCATGTTTTCCACGAAACAGTTCTCCAGCAGAAATAAATAACACAACAGCTGGTATTCAAATATACATGTGATTAACTGATATCTGCAAGTACAAACACATAATCAGTTATTATAATAACAATCTTGGTTAACTCATACATTTGACTGAACAATCTCATGGGGAAGGGTGCCTAAGTGTTGTGTTGTGTACTTGGTGAAATGCACTAATAAGACCAAGACCTTATCAAGCTCACTCATCGATTTCAATTACTGCCCAGCAATGAACAAAGAAACGCGGACAAGACCAAAGATCACGTACCTAGCATCGGAGAGTTCTCAAATCCAATCCTGCTCCTGCAACTTGAGAGGCAGGTAGACCTCCGTGAGGTACTGAAACCCGAAGGAACTGAGGGAGGGCAGAGGGCCTGTATCTCAGCCTTTTGCTTGGTGCACAGCATCGTCTCCAGCTCCTTCACCCAGCCCTCATTCTGCTTCACAAAGTCCTCCTCGAGCAGCTCTTTTCCCACCTTGATATCGTGATCGGTCATGGGGAGACGGCACTGCTCCGGCACCCTGTACTTGTCCAGGTCGCTCGGCCGGACACCGAGCCACTTGATGTCCGGCGTCGTCAGATTGGCACTGTCATACGACATGTTCTTCGAACCACACATGTACACTGACAAGATCTTGAGCCCGTATGGATCGGAGTCCACCAGCGCGAGCACTGGCAGCTTCAGCTCAACCTTGAGCCGCCGCAGGAACAGCCGGGTGGCGACATCTGGCTGCCCCTTGGCCGTCAGAATGATGCAGGAGAAGCGGTTGTAGAACCTGTCCTCGGTAAGTCGCATGAATGCAGCGTCCTTCTCCACCAGGAGGATGAAGAGCGCGTCGCTCTCGATGCCCGAGACCCTGTCGACATTGGGCGGTATGGCCTTCCCGCCGACGCCCATGCGCGTGCAGTCGATCCGGTCCCCGTCGTCGGCGAAGATGAGGCGGCCGACGACGACTCCGTTCTCGGAGGCGACGACGTGGAGCGAGGACCGGGTGCATCCGAGCATGCAGGAGACGTCGTCGAGGAAATTCGTGCTGAGACGAGCTGATACAATGTCCCCTTGAATGGAAAATCAACTCAGCTCGACATCGAGTATAGCACAGGCAAGCAGATATCCACAAATGTTTTTTTTTGCGACTGTATTAATTTCTATATATATAGAACCATACATATGTGCACGTAGCTTGGCTTATATATATAAGAAAAAAAGCCCATGCACCCTGAACAGGATCGCTGAAGATTGAGGGCTACTTACAACCTGACTTTTACAATAAGAGATGGAGTGACTGGGGGGGGGGGGCACTAATTTTCAAGAACAGCAAGCTCTCAACACATCCTCCATGTCAGGGTCATCTCCGGCTTCTTTGTCCTGTTAAAAGAGATACCAGAAAAGAGAAGTGCATTCAGTATCATAGTATGAGGAGAACAGGAGGGGTTTCCCCCTATTGATTATATTATATATACATATTATACAATAGAATTTTCGTATGAGAGGCACTGACTTTGTGGATGTACAAGATGTTATCGATTTTCGGACCTGCAACAATCAGCCCCCCTTGATACCTAAAATAGAGAAATGCATTAGATCAATTAGAAAAGACAATTGCAAAAGCTCTAACAGCCAAATCAGAATTATAAGAAAGCAAAAAGGCAAAACCAGAATGCAAACATACCATCCGCCTCGTGTCCTAGTGTTCTTTTCGAATGACAATTCCCAGTCCTGCCTGTATCCTTCCCTGTACAATTGTATTATCTTGAGGCCAGCCTGTGAAATGATGGAAAGAACCGTTTATGTATATGTTTGGGAACATAAACTACACAGCATGCAAAATTTAGTCCAGTATAAGAGTTACCGCTGGCGTAAAGGTAGAGAACAACCCGAATGCAAATTCAAGAGCGTCATATGATGAGTGAGTTGGGTCTGCATACACTTCTGTAATGTAAAATACCAGATTTGTTATACAGTGTACAGAAGGTGAAGTTTTGCAGCAAAAAGTATTAATCGGAATACACATCATCACAGATTTACACAGTTAAATACCTAAATCAAGAGAAGATTTAATTTTTACATTTATGCAAAAAGGAAAGAAACAAAAAGGACCAGCTATGCTTTTTTACTTAGCTTTTATTATTGGACAGCTATCACGAAATGCCCAAATCAAGGTTCTTAAGGCAGCAAGGCGTCATATGGTGAATTGGGTATGCCTTTGCCTAGGTGATACCTTAACAGCCTTGCCCTAACTTAAATCAGTACTTAATTTCTTTTCTAAACAAAAAGTAGGACACACTCTTTATTTGCTGGATGTAAATTTCAGTCCCAGATCCGCGATTCCTACTGGTACTACTTCAGGAGTACATACTTGCATACGGCCACACCAAGTCATGCTAAAGGCAACATCATCCACTTGTGTATGATGGATTATTCTGAGTTGCAAATCACACTTGTAAAATAAATAGAGATATCAATGTTCAAGAGACAGGAAGGAACATGTTTGTTATACAAACCTCACAGGATAACTTAATAACTTCATAGATACCACCTTGATTATTATATTAGGTGCACAAAATTTATTTGAATATTCTCTTAGCACATATTACATGATTATTTATACTCTCGTTAAAGAAGTGGTGGCCACAAGGCCTGGAGTAGAGGTTATTCAAGAAACAGACCACCTTTGAATTTGGTTTGCTCACAAAATGCCTTTGCCTGGATCAAGAGAAAACAAGATACAATTAATCATTGACATGCTAGTTTATTTACAACAGAAATGGAGTTCATAGAAAATATTTACCAACCCGAAATTTTCATTTAAAGCTGTAGCTCATCTTCATGAGTTGTACTTCAAGTAATATTATCAAGGCAACATTAATTTTTACAGAATTAGCAAACTAAAGTTCACTAATTTCTCATCAAAAGAAAGCGCCATTCATCACCGGAATCTCAATTGTGGTAAATAAAGAAACAGATACCCTTCCAAGAGCCTCTCTAAACTTTCAATCTCCATATCTCTATTTTGAGAGGCATCCCAAGAATATTCTCTTTATTGTCACCAACACACTTTCTAAGTTTCGTTCTGATACTCCAATGGCCTATAATAATTTTCTTTATCTGTGTACTTGCTGCTTGTATATAAACACCTCTTTTCCTATCTTAATTGAAAGGCACAGCTCCTGCCATTTCTTTCAATTTTTTTTCTTTATCTGAAAAAAATCATGATAGAACTACCATATATTGAATTTAGCGAGCGATATAGCCTCTCCATTAGTGGAAAGCGTGAAGGGTGATTTCGGAGGACGGAAAAGATGGAGAGTGGTTTCGAAAGTCTATTGGACCATGATTTTTTTGGGTTTGTTTTCTAAATTTGATAAAGAGCCAATAGAGGGTCTCTTGAGGATGCCCTAGAAACTGCATACCAGCTTGCTTATGAACCAAACAACACATATTGCATGCATAAGATGGCTAATCACTTATCACTCTTGCTGATCACATAGATTTTGCATTTCACAACTAGTACTAAATTAAAAAACATAACATAGAAATGAGGTTCTTTTATTGTAGATGAAAACATACCTGTTCAACACTACCTGGTCCAATTAAAACAAGAGCAACTCCAGCAGCTTGCATGACATCCTGCACATTAGTGGCAAGCCAAGAAATAAGTTCAAAATTCAGAATATAGAGGGACTAACAAAGAGAAGCCTGCCTGTTCTAAGGTGGCTTAAGCTACTGTCATGTATATGTCACATCCTGTAACCATTGTGTTAATTTGCTAAAGTTGTTTATAGGAAATCAATATTACTAAACTAAGAAAATGAGAAGATAAATAGCAAAAATGGAAAAGCAGTTCTTAAACCAACTTTGAATTCAAGGGAAACTAACAAACTACATAAATAAACAAAAAGGAATTCCTTCATTATCTATATCATTCCCCTTCGGACCTAAGGCTATTTTTGAGGGATCAATTTAATATCAGGTTCAGGTGGCCATTAAGGAACCCCCCCTCCCCCGCCCCCACTCCACACACCCCTTTGACAACATCAGAAGATCTATCATGCAAAAAATTGCCCTTTGCCAAACTACCACTAGGCAACGTACAACTAGAAAGTTTAGAAGGAAAACTTGTTAAAGCACCTTGATGCATTAAGCAAAGTGGGAAGTATTTCAAATTTTGATACTGCACAACGGCAACTGGCAAAAGTGGGAAGTATTTCAAATTTTGTTACTGTACACCGGCAACTGGCAAAGTCTGAAGTGGCTACAGAAGAACAGCGCGAGAAATCAGCGATGGAACCTGTTTCGCCGCGAGAAGGTCCGCCCTCTTTCGGCACAGCACGCACCTGCAAACGGAACAGGCAGAGGCATGCATGCCAACATATCAGCCACAGCAGTCACTCATAAATCAACGAATAATTCCCAGATAACGGTGAACCGACCCGAAATGGCGAGCAAACGCAACCACTGCTTTCCTTTCCTTCCACAGATCAACGATGGGTACCGCCTTGCCGTTCAGGTCGAACACCTCGACCCCTGCAGCTTCTGCACGAGCCCCTCCGCCGGCGCGGCCTCCGCGGTGCTCCCTGGAAATCGCGTAGAACACAGCACGTGACACAGAGTGAGCGTGAGCGCGCGAGACTGCTTCAGAGAACCGAACTGACGGTATCGAAGCAACAGAGGGGATTGGGGTACCGACCAATCGCTCCCAACTTGGCGTCAGGGAGGAGGTGGCGGACCGGGCGCGCTGTCCGCTGGTCGAAGAAGAGGCCGCCGACAGCCCCCCTCGCGCGGAGACACTGCGCGGACTGGCGCGGGGCCACGGCCGCCGCAGCCGGGAGCGGGCCGGATCTGGCGGCGGCGCGCGGCATGACGAGCGGTGCGCGCGCGGCCATGCGGCAGGCACTGTCCTGGCTGGTCAGTGGCGGCGAGCCGGCGAGCTCTGGCAGTCCGGGTAGTTACGTGGGATCTCGGTGGCCAGGATGCGGTTATGCGGCTGTCGCCACGCGGTGGGCTCGAGCCTTGGAAGAAGAAGAGTGCGGCTGCGCCTGCGCCTATGTTCTCCCTGGTCCGTGTTTGTTCTGCACAAGGTGTGGCCCACGCGTCAGCCAGAGTAGAAAAACATGTTCTAGAACTCGCCCGCCTCCACGCGCGCACTCAACCAGCGACGCCTCGAGGCCGCGGACGGCGCGGAGCCAGACGGCCTCGCGTTCGCTGAGAAACCGAAGGCCGTAGAGCACACGAGCTGTAGACTTCTAGAGCACGGCGGGGCAGCATGAGGGGCTTCCGCTTTGCGCTGGTCCGTGCGGCGCGGTCGCGGTCGCGGGAGGAGCTCCACACCGTGCAGCGCCGCCGGCCGTCGGATCTCGCCCAACGTTTTTCGCACTCCGCGTCGGCGCCGGCGAGGCCATCCTTCGGCATCGCGTTCGACATCGATGGGGTCATCCTGCGCGGCCGAAGCCCGATCGGGGGCGCGCCGCGGGCCATCCGCCGCCTCTATTCCGAAGAAGGTAACGCCCTTGCGCTTCTCGTGCTCCGCTGCATTCGTTGAAGCAGCTTGCAGTTTCATCAGGAGGACTCGGGGAGTGTCTCGCTCCTGTGTTTGTAACGGCGAAGTGGACTCAGATGTCTGGTCATGCCTGCCGGCTGCCGCATTCGTGTCTTTTGAGCAATTTCGTCGAACGGGTCCAAGTCGTTAGGCATTGTGTCTTGTGTATTACTCAATTATTAAATCGTATTTGGACTTAAAATTGAATTTTTAGGCTGCATTATTTACTCGTTTCTGGAGCGCGAACCAATGAGAGTAATTTGTTCTGCCAATGTTGCTATTCCTATTTGCTAAGTTATGCCTATAGCTTCTACTAGGGTTAAAGATTATGGATCACATTATTTGTTCCTTTTCAGGTACCCTGAAGATTCCGTTTCTGTTTTTAACTAACGGTGAGTAATTCACTGTACCATTTGCACACCCTGTTTTCCTATCATTGTCGCATACTAGCTCCTTGTTTTGGGATATTTCTAAAAAGTTCCTATTATACATCAAGCAATTCATTCGACGAAACCTGTTCTTTGATAGACATTGTTCTCAACTAGACTGCCAAATTATATGACATTTACTAGACTGGTGCATTTGATTATTTGACTTATGTGGAATCATCTTCATTCAACGAATTACTATCTAAGAGGCAATCTTGTTCTGGAAAGGTTGATTATCAACTTTTTAATGCTGTGGATAATTGTTAATGAACAGTGAACAGTCCATCCTATTATAAGTTTTGTTATAGCTTTTACATGGCCATCAGTAATCACAGCTGAGGGCTGTACAAAGGCACCATGGAGCGTGGAACTTTTAATTGTGTTGCTGAATTTCTTATTGAGGTTATTAAGGTTACCAATTTGTTGGTAGGAGGAGGTGTTCCGGAGCATAGAAGGGCCCTTGAGCTAAGCCAACTTTTAGGAGTCAACATTTCTCCAAAGCAGGTACTTCTGCAGTACTCATGAGTCATTGCTTATCTACCTCACAGCTATGGACCTTCAAGCTAACTAATAAACCCCTATAGTAAGGAGAGAAAATTAGTGCATCTCTTTTCTTTACCTTTTCAACCATTGGCTATGTTAAATTTCCATCTACGAAAATGTCTGATGTGTGTAGGTTGTGCATGGCCATTCTCCTTACAGAGAGCTGGTGAAGCGGTGTGCCTTTCAAGTACTACATCAATAATTTCTTGTTTCTTCATGGACTTGTAGCACCTGAATGGAACCCCGTTTTGATCTCTGCAGTTTCGAAGATGACCTTATTGTTGCTGTTGGAAAAGGAGAGCCTGCAGTAGTGATGTCCGAGTACGGATTTAGGTAATTCTTCATGTTCCTATCATGGGTCAAATTTATCGTGTGAATTCCTCATGAGTCATCTGTGCCTACAGAAAAGTTCTGTCCATAGATGAATATGCATCATATTATAAAGATATTGACCCCCTGGCTCCTTTCAAGACTTGGAAAGTTGGGCAAACAGACAGTTACATGTCTGCGAAAATGCACCCATCATATGATGTTTATTCAGAGCGAGTTAAAGGAGTGTTTGTTGTCAGTGATCCTGTTGATTGGGGAAGAGATCTACAGGTACTTCTTTCATGCCCGTGCCTCACTAATAGAAAACCTTCTTGGGCTGCATTTGTTTCATTTTCACATAATATCTGAATGAGTGATCCATAAACATCTTTTCCTCTAAGTGCAGGTTCACGTGAAATTGTGATTACTTGCTTTTCAGATTGGCTACATAAGTTCAATAATCTGATTTGTTTTTTCCATATGAAAGGTACTCTGTGACATCTTGTCTACTGGTGGACTTCCTGGGACTGAAAAAGGGGATCAACCTCCTTTGTATTTTGCAGCTGATGATCTTGAATACCAGGTAAGATGATATGTCAAGAATGGTGCTATACTGTGAACACCCTACAGGCCACAATTTCTCTTATTTCCATCCAGGTTCAATGATAGTAAGATAACCATTGCACTGGAAGAAACTTAGTTTTGAGATCCTATGGCAGGCTGCATTTCCTTCTGAGCGGCTTGGCATGGGTGCCTTCAGGATAGCTTTGGAAAGCATCTTCAATCAGTAAGCCATTTTTATATTTATGAGATATTGTACTTCAAATTTATAAGCATGGATGTGTGGACAGCTTAATCATTTTCTGCTCACTTAAATTGCAGAATAAATGATCATCCACTGAAGTATACATCTTATGGGAAACCTAATCCATTTGTGTTCAAGAATGCAGCAAACATACTTGAAAAACTTGTTCTGAGTACGTATCCTAATTCACAGACATCAATGGAAGTAAAAGATTGTCAGTTTTCAACTATCTACATGGTTGGCGATAATCCTAAAGTGGATATTAATGGAGCTATGAAGGTTAGTCTTTGATACATTTTATCATTTATATAAAAAAAATATTCACTGCATGGAGTGGTTGATGGTACAAGGATGCTGTACAGCTTTCAATATCCGTTTCCTTGATGAGATCAACATTGCCTATTATTACAATATATATGTTTGCAGAGTTGAACAGCTAACTTGTAGTCCAGCAAAAAAAAAAACAGGCTACCTGATGCATTTGGAAAACAGCATTACCCTATTGAATAACATACCATCCACTTTCAACATTTTTCTTTTTCTATATTGCTCTTCTATTACATTGAATTGAAAGCAGTTATGAGCCAGTAGGCCATTGCTTCCTATCGAGAGATACTTAACCTGCGTAATTCGAACTTTCCAGGCTGGCCACCCATGGTCATCTGTTCTTACAAGGACGGGTGTTTTTAGGGGAAAAGATAACGACCCACAGTTTCCTGCAGATGCGGTATATCTTATAACCAAAAACTTTCATTCCACCCTGTGACTGTTAAGTTGTCTGGTAACACATGTTTGGCAAGAAAATATATGTATATATGACAGATGTTTGAGTCTTAAATTAACAATAACCATAAGCGACTTGCCCATCTTATAATGAACCTCATTGTCTCAGTTCTATTATCCTTTCTAGCGTTCTCAGTAGTAGAGCAGCTCACACATCTAGAGAGTTTGATCTGCATGGGGTCAAATCTCGAGTAATGAGTAATGACCTGCAAAAATGTGCCTCTTTGTTTTTGTTTGTGTAATGCACGATAAATTTCTGTGTTATAACTTATATTGCGAGTCCTTTCACACCACAACGCCAGAAAATGTAGGAACTAACCTGGTTCAGCTGGTGATAGGTGTGGGCTTACAATTTGGGTGCCTTTCTTTTTCTTATAAGAAAACAATTACCTAGTTCATTTTTTGTTAGCATAATATGTTATATTCATGTTTCACTGCAGCTAATTTTTTTTAATTCGTTATTTATGTTCCTTGGATTCTGATTCTTGCGGATGCTCTCATATCAGGTTTCCTGCTTAACTGAAATTTGTTGACTCAACACTGTCGATCTGTTGTGATGAAATATCTAGGATGAAAACAGAAACATTGGTTATCCATTATCGTGGATTTATCATCATAATTTGTTGCTGTTCTGATAAAAGTTGCGTTTGCCTTTCAGGTTGTTGATACTGTTGAAGATGCCATCAACTATATTCTGGAGAAGGAATGTGTACAGTGATGATACTGTTGAATATGCCATCAACTATATGCTCCCTTGATCATTGTCATTTGGCATGCTTTACAAGATAAGATGTACAGCCCATTTTTTTTGGTCTAGTAAATTTATAATCCTTGGCTGGAAGTCGATCTCTTATTCATTCTACCAACAAATACACGTTAGAGACAGCAGGCCATATTTTCTTGCACTTTTTTTTTTTTGGGTGCTGAAGAGACTAATTTATTACTATCTGTACAAAGGCCAAAGGCTCCATGCAGCGGAACCGAAACTGAAATGCGCGTCGCTTGTAATAGATGTTATTGTTTCCATGTAGATCATTTGCTTCTCTCAGGCTGCTCTTTACTTGTTTGAAGTTATGAATTGTAACGTTCCATTACCATAATATCATTCATTCACCAAATTGAACATTCAAATCTCTAGCTTCCCACAACTTTTAACAACCTGACAGGTTCAAATTTACCGAATCAGCACGGATTCTGCTGCTCCTTGCATGGAACTGATTAGCTAAAGATGTTCTCTTCTACGTCCTCACAATGTTTCTTCATTTTGGTCCTTTCCAACTCTTATGGCTGGTCTACATCTACTGATGTCATGCTGCTGGATTCTTTTGATGTTGTTTGTGCTATAGGTATAATTTGGTACAAATTATAAGAAATTCATGAGTTAGCTTTTTTTTTTTCTTTCGCATGAAAAGATTTAGCCCGTTTTTTTTAAGACCGATAGCTTTACGGACTGTGAGCTCAAGGCTTGAGCCGAGCCACTGAGCGCTCGGCCCCACATAATCTAAATTGTCCGTAGACCAAGTCCACGCGAACCCCCTCTCGTCTTCCCACAGATAAGCCCTTTCACTCCACTCTTTCTCCTTCCTCCGTTCGTCGCTCCAGCGCCCAACCCAACCCGCCGTTCCTCCGGCGCCCTCCCGCCCCGCAAAATGGAGACATCCTTCCTCCCCACCACGCTCCCCACCACAAAGCCCCTCCCCGCATTCCGAACCCACGCCGCAGCCGCATCGATCCGTCCCCAGCAGCGCCCTCGCCGTTCCACAATACGCGCGGCAATCACCCGGGGCCGCAAGGAGGAGACGGTGGCCACCGTCCGGGAGCAGCTGGAGGGGTGCTACCTCCTGGCGGGTATCAAGTACGAGGGCCTGACGGTGAAGCAGCTGCAGGGAATCCGCGACGCGCTCCCCGAGACCTGCAGCCTGCTGGTGGCGAAGAACACGCTGGTGGGGAAAGCCATCGAGGGCACCCCCTGGGAGGCGCTCAAGCCGTGCATGAAGGGTATGAATGCCTGGCTCTTCGTCCACACCGAGGAGGTACCCACCGCGCTCAAGCCCTACCGCGCCTTCCAGAAGGAGGAGCGCGTTGAGGAGACCAACGACTTCGTCGGGGCCGTCTTTGAGGGCAAGTTTTACGGGCCCGGCGACTTCAAGACGCTCGAGACTATGCCCAGCCGCGCCGAGGTTTACGCCACGCTGCTCGGCGCGCTGCAGGGACCCGCTACGTCCCTCGTCGCCACGCTGCAGGCGCCGGCCAGGGATGTCGTTGCTGTGCTCTCCGCCTACGTGCGCAAGCTCGAGGAGGAGGCTGGAGCTGCCTAGTGGGGTTGCGAATTGGTTGTCATCTCCCTCTCACTCCCTATTTGCTGTTTGTACAATTCTGTGTACCTTTACTGGCTCCCAATCACATTTGAATTGATTCACAGTTTTCCATTTTACAATGCTTGCCCTTACCTGGAAGATCAAAGAGTGCATTCGTGATTCTTAGCATTTCTTTCTACCAAGTGTTCTAGGATCGGATGAGGTTGTAGAGGAGGGCGGTGAATACTATGTCGAATGATTTGATAATTAGATCTGTGTTAGAGCAATTCTACCTGACTGTCAATGTTTCAGGGAGGGTTTCATGGTGAATTGTACACGCCCCTGAAACAATTGTGATTGCTTAGACTCCAGAGTGCTTGTGTTTGCTTATACACAGGTTTAGGATTGAAGTTTTCTTTTCTTTTTCAGTTAGTATGCTGCAGTGTCGTGAGATATAAATTGGACTGTCGTTTCAGATTAGATAAAACTCTGACATTAAAAGGGGAAGTCCACTTATGCACTGACAGAACTCAAGCATTCAAGTAAGTTGTAACAATAGAATCAGAGTTGGAAATTCTTCTGGATAGCTGAAGTGACTCTCTTATTCACTGTGCACGATATCTTTATTGTATGAACATTCACTTGCTCTGAAATCACATCCACATAACCATCCATTTGGTGTGTGCTAATTGCCTTCACTGGTATTGATTGTTGTCCTAATTTGACGAATGTAGCTAGTCTAATGGAGGACACTCGAGTCATGTGGTTGGTGACAATGGTTTGAGTTGCACTAGCTGCAAGTTAGGTGAGTTTGCAGTGAATTTTCTTGGATTTGGTCCCGTAATCGAAGCCTTTAATCCCAGTCCTGCATGCATGACTCTGACAACCAAGTGCACCCTTTGTGACAAACAGTTTTTTTTAGAGTGGCAGTTTCAAAAGTTTAGGTATCGGGATATCAATTTGTCAACGGATTAGAAATTAAGAATGCAGTTTGCAGGATTTTTTTTACATGGTGCTGGTGATGAACATGAAATTTCTAGCAGAGGCGGAGGGTGGGAGCCCCCCAAGCAAAGGGATAATCATGTTTTTGGCTCCGCTTCTGGTATCATGAAGCATTATTTGATGCACAGCTTCTTGTAGTTGTAGGTCCTGGTCTTCTGGTTGTGTTATGTATTTACATCCACAATACCTTCTAGTCGGTTTTCTTTTGTAGCCATCAATCATGATTAGTTTGATTTGGCAATGAAAATATGTGGTGCTGTCAGTTTGTTGCAACATATATGGTGCCATCCAGGTAAATATCTGTTTTTTTAGAAGCACAATACTGACAGAGGCTCACACATACACACAATTCACCACACGCACGCACAGATTCATGCCTATGAATACCTATATGTTTGTTCTATGTGCAATGCAGCAGTCACTCAGTTAGCAAATGAATTGTGCTCCTGTTATTTCTTGGAGCTTTCCTTGATGAAGCAAAATGGTGAAACCATAGTTTTTCCATAATGTGTTCTTGTAGTAGTCTTCAATGTTCATTATCTTCCCATTAATCAGTAATGCATCATTCTAAGCTTGTCACTGAATCATTGTTGTTCTGACTGGAGAGGCGATTTTCACAGCTGAAAGATGCAACCGCTTGATATACCATATACATTGAGTTTGAACTTAGCACAACATCACAACAGAATTTCAGTGAACTAGACGTACATGTCTATACTTATCCAAAATTTATCTGAGCACCATGTGCATCAATTCTTGCTGTTTAGTGTCAGTAAATAGTTAAATTCTGCACATTTTCATTTTTCAGTACATGAATTATTGCCGAGCTGATGCTTATGCATTACTATATAGTATATACTGGTAGTATATTTTGTTTATCAAATCTGAAAATGAACACCATTTTATACCCTTGTAGGATGATAGCGTAAACATAATTGTGCTCATAGCGGTTGTAAAATTAGGCATCATGGGGTGATTGTTTTGCTTGCCTAATTTCAGGCTCATTTATGCTATCCTAAAGCATCAGAATCAGGCACGCCTCCTTGTGGCAACTGACAAGCGACCCAGCCTTGTCATTGCCCTCGAGCTTGACGCTTGGAGATTTTGAATCGATGCCGGACGTTGATCTGCAGTCTTTCTTTACATGAGCTGGCAAATGGCAATTGCTATCTGCGCCTTCATAGGGGTGTTTTTGTGTTTTTGGGTGAAAGTTGAGACTGCTATCTGAATCTTTGACCGTTGAATATCTGACTGAATCAAGCGATCAGAGCGCTTGTGGATGTGAAACTAAAATTTTAAATGGCACTACATATGCGGTGGTATCCGTAAAGGTGGATCCCATGTTTCAGCAGGATAAAAAGCAAATTCGAGAGAATAATCGACGTGGGTGGGTTGGGACTGAAAGGCATCGTTCTCTGCACAGCAGACTTAATTTGCGTGAATAAACTTCATACACTTGCCATCACGCGAATGATCACTAGTCTTAAGAAGGACCACTCAAGTTAGCCTTGAACAGTTGAACTCCAGATCTGGATTTGGTTGATTTCTCTCGGGTAAACTTTCCATGTAAACCGGATGAGAAGTACGGCAACATGCTCACACGAGATGAGCACGAGCGATTTCTTGCAAAAGTCTACCGCCCAGCTTAACATTTTCTTTGAGGTAAGGTCCATTTTTCAACCAACAACTTACAAGGTAGTTTGATTTTCAATCCTAAACTGTAAACTGAACAGTAAACGTGCTTTATTAATTATTAAATTCGGATAAATTTGGTTCTCTTGTTGGTTTCAAATGTAGTTTTTTTTTCTATTTTCTAAAAATATAAATATTGTAGTTTAATTTAATGTATAAAATATCATAACTGATTTATCTTTAATCTACTAGCACTGCAATTTGATGATGAATGAAGGTTGAAAAATATACATTTCTTTCTCTCTTTTCTTTCATGAAAACTAGCACTGCTGAAGTCTGCAACAGCAAGGGCATTTTTTTTTATGATGAGGCGGTCTTGTTTTAGAAACGTGTGATATAGAGGTACTCCGTATTCGGCTTTTCAAATTCCCTGAGACATTGCGTTGCTGGACGAATTAGTATTTATGTATTCGTTCCAATCCGAACGGTGCGCGCTGTCGGGTCAGACGAGCAACGTAGGCACGCTCTCGCCTGATCCGGAGAGGCCCGTCGCCGTCTCGCGATGCCAAATCATAAGCCGTCACACCGACACCATGGCATGCACATGCACGCCACGGTGCCCGTTCGTTTGCTTGATAAGTCATGACTAAAAACACCGTTGGTTGATTTGTTGTAAGAGAAAAATACTGTTTATTAACTTTAAAAGATCGCTTATAAGCCAGCTAACTGGTACAAATCAAAATCTCGACCAGCGAGCAGCGCGTCCCTGCTAAATCCGGCTTGCCAACGCCACGCCACCTTGAGACCATCTCCCGGAGCCGAACACGAAGCCGTGTCTTTATGATTAATCCCCATCAGGCATCAGGACAACACCGCACCGCACGGCACGACCGCGACGCGTCCGCCCGCCGCGTGGGAACGAGGAAACCTGGTCCTCAGGATCAACCGCAGCCACGTGAAGATGAATCGAGCCAGTTACGCGAGCAACGGAAAGGCTGGCCCGCGGCCACACAGCCAAAGGAGACGCGGGCGGGATGCAAAGCCAAGCGCGACCCCGGAAAAAGCACGGCGTCTCGACCACACCGTGCTGGCGATTGGGGAATAAGGGGAAAGGCGGGCGATGCTGCTGCTGCTGCTGCCCCCCTCCCCTCTGAACTAGCAGGAGTAGCAGAATCGATCTGATAGCGGCCACCCTCCACGGCGTACGACCGACACGACCACCGCCTCTGCGCGCACCGCGTCGGCGCCCGGCGCCCGGCGCCTGCTTTCTTGCAAAGATTTTTTTTACAGAGAGAAATTCTTGCAGACAAGACAAGATTGTTGTTGCCGAGCTCAAACGCACGCCGCCCACCGATGATCGGACGACGGCAGGGCGGATAGGATAAGCTCTGTGGGTCGAGAGATGCATGCTCCGCTTCCGTTCCGGACGTGCTTGCTCCTGTCCTGAATCCTGACATGGACTCGTTAGTTAGCTCTTGGTGCTGGTTCACTGTCTTGGAACTTTGCACAACGGGCTGAGGCCGAAAGGTAGTCGTGCCCAGAATATATATCTTCGCCTCCATTGGCTCTTTATTACATGATGCTATATGTAGCGGCCTGGGGCGCCTGGCCCTTGAGTCCTTGACTGCATTTTATTTTTGACGTGCCCCAGAATCTCCGCCTCCATTGGTTCTTTCCGTGTTTCCGGTCTGAACTAGTCTTCCATAAACACAGATTTAGGTACTTATGCAGGCGTCAGCCATTTAGGTACTGAAACCGTAACTCTGGGTTCCACAAGGTGCCCCCTAGGAAACTTGCTACGTCCAGTTTGTTTGTTTGTTTGTTTGGCTTATAAGTCGTATTTTTTTCAGCCAATGAACAGTATTTTTCTCTCACACTAAATCAGTCAACAGTACTTTCAGTCATGACTTATCAGTCAAACAAGCCCAAATGAACAGGGCGCTAACTGCTGAAAACAAAATGCCTTCCCATTCCAGCCTCTTCATTTGCCAGCCTGCGCCGTAGTTCGTCTCAAAACTTATACATTGATTTTCTACAACAGATGAGAATTAGCTAAGCTAGTTTCTGTCTCTTTGCGGTCACTGTGCATCTAAAAGAAAGCAGGCAGTACCTTTTGCGACTGTTCCTTACCTACGAGCCGTCCATTCTCAGAGGTAAGGAAAAAAGAGCCTTTGTTTGCAAGAATGCGAGGGCACAAGAATCTGGATACGCGGTTGGCCAAAAAGATATGCCAGATTCATACCGTTCGCTTGAGCTACTGCTGCAGCTGCAGCCGTAGCGGCTGCTTAAAATGGCTTACTGGGTTTTAGCATATAAGGGACACAGGATCGATCGTACATGGATTAGTTTAGCCTGAACCAGCCGGTTCGTCCCGGCCACTTTCGTCCAATCGGCCCTGGGACAACGGGACCATGAAAAAATTGCAGGTGCCAATGGAGCGAGCTGGCGTGAGGCTCCTCGGCTCGGAGCCTCGGACCGGTCGGCCGAGTATTTGGTGTTGGTTGATGGGTCCCACGCTACGGTCGTGCTTTCACCTTGTGCTTGCTAGGACGCGGTACCGCCCGTACCTTGGACCTTGGACCTTGGTTTGCCGTTCCAAGAGAAATTCTCACCTACTCCGTACTAGTTACTTGCTTTTTTTTTTCTCTTGACAAAACTCAACCCCTACTTCTCTATTCTCTCTGCCTAATTTGGAAGCAAGGGATAACACATCCAGGATGAAAAACCCTCCATAAAAAACTAAATAATTATTCAAATTATTTCTCTATAGATTTTCCACTCTGAGAAAGTCAGGGATCTTAGAGGGATTTGAGTTTTCAAAAAGGGCCTTTGTGGTTGTGAAATGCATTTCCTTTTGACAAACCCGATGAAATGAAATGAAATACCTCAGCAGTCACACCTAGCGGTGCGGTAGGGTGCGATACATCCTCACCAAAAGTGGAGGAAAATGGAGCGCGAACTTAACAGTACTAGTAATCATAACTTTTTAGACGAACTAAAGAAACATAAATTCAGCTCAGATTCGGAGCTAGCGCTGCAGAATTTTCTCGCTTTCTCTTTTTGTTAGGTGGTCTGGACACGACTGCAAAGCATCTGTGTGATCGCTTGGAATGGAAAAACAACTTGCGATGTGGCTGGTGCGACAAAGGAAATCCTTAATTAATTAATTGAACACATAGTGACAAAGGAACCCAGGTCCCAGGTCATCATAAGAATGCATTACCAGTAGCCTCCATTCTCTAGAAAGTTCTGGGCTCATTCCGTGCTGGTCGCCGACTCACCGTCGCCATAATCAGCTTAATCAAACGAGAAAATTAACGAGGAAAGGACAGGAGTTCGATTGCTAATGACAACCGCTAACATGTACGAGTGGGTCACAGGAGCTCACAACTAACACGACACACAAGTACAGCGCTGGCAATTTTGTGTGACATGCTTTTGGGCATGTTCGCTTGTCTGATTCTGGAGGAATCTGGATGGTTTGGAGGAATGTTGGAGAAATTTGTGAGAGAAAAACACTGTTTCCGGATAAAAAAAAAAAGCGGAATCAAGCCGGATTTAAAGGCACGCGAACGGAGCCTTTGTCCGAAAATAAAGTTGCATAACATCTCTCGCCCTCTCTCTGTCTGAAAAGACTTGCCTAACCTTTCAAGTTTCAAGTGTTTTTTTTTTTTTTTTTTCGTGACTATGCCACTTATAAGCACGTATTTTATTAAGAGAAATTAGAAGTACATAACAAGTTAGCCGCTCATTGGTAAGCGCCAAGCTTACCAGAGAGAAGGAGACTCAAAAACAAAAGAAAGAAAAGAAGAACAGCTGAAACAAGAATTGAGGACGAAAAAAACAGCAAGCCTAAAGGCAACCTCGACTCCCTAACCAGACAACAACGCGCACGGCCGCTCAGCTTCGCGCATAATGCAACAGAACAGGTTCTGGGATAATAGGGATTAGACAAACTTACGATAACTGATGGCTGCATTAACTCCTTGATACCTCTACGGACCTTCGCGACAAAGTGATCTATCGTCCGGTTCAAGGTGTTCAATTCAAGGCCGTTTCCCATCCAATTTGGATAAAGGCGAGTCATGATGGCCTAGAGAGTCCTGCTCAGACAGATCCATTCAGCTCTAAAGCGTTTGGAATTTAAACGACCGGGAGCAATGCCTGAATATGCAAGATTCGAAAAAAGCTAACTTTATTCCATGCCTCGATAGAAGAAATTAGTACGTAAAACAAATGCTCAAGATATAATGGAGAACCTCTTATAAATCTTAATGAAGCAAAGATATGTTTTTTTTTCAAAAGGTTTACTCAGTGGTGAGATATATAGTCAAAGTCAAATTACAACTGGAAAGCATTTCATTTGATGACCTCCCACACCCGGAAACAAAAGCCAACGCTAGCCAGTGAAACGGGAGTGCCCTGGTTCCCAAATCGCACTCCAGGTCCCGCTTAAACGCCGTTAACGCTCCGCCGTGATGATCTTTCCATCCGAGCAGCAGCCCCCAGCACTCCCCGGCCCCACATCACCTCCACAAGCTCACCCCAACCCACCGACGTGCGGGCCCCTTCGACTTCCCGAACCCCACCAACCAGTGACGCAGCCACGACGGACCCGCGCGTGCCGCTCGAAGTGGCCCCGGGCGATCTGCGTATTCGGCGGAGCGCAGGGAGCGCGCGGCTTTAGATCTCGTCGGATCTCGGCTGGGGCGCGGGCCCCGCCCCCACTCCCTGCCCACCTCCACTTGCTCCACGTCACGGCAAGCGCCTCCCCTTCCCCCTCTCCCCGTTATCTATCGCCTCCTCCGCGGCCTCCTCGCCATCACACCAGTCACCAGCGCATCGCCTCTCCTCGCCATGTGGCCCGGAACCCCTCGCGGCGTCATCTCCTCCTCGTCATCGTAAACACCCCACGCGTAGGTGCGCACCGCGCCCTCTGCTGCGGCTACCGGGAGCTAGCTCGTAGATTCAACTCTTCTCATTTTTAAAATTAATTTATCTGGTTTTTTTGTTGTTGTTTTTGCGGCAGAGTTCGTCAGGGTCGCCTCCAGTGGATCTCGAGAGTCCGATTCCCCAGGCGCTGCTGTTACCTTGGGTGGAGGCAAGTTGGAACTGCGCTGTTTGCTTCACAGACTTTTCCTTCTGAAGTTTTGCAGCCTCTGATGAGGTTTATCTTTTTGTTCTATATTTAGCTCGGACCGCGGATTAGTGGGATTTTGAAGGGAGACGGTGGTTTCTGACTTCCTTTCTCTACTCATACCAAATTCTTCGTTTCGTACTGCCTCAAATCTCTATTGTCGGTTTTGTGTACGGGGAATTTCGTATATAAATCCTTATTATATGAGCTGTTTAATGTTTCACAGGAGTCGGAAGCAACTGATTTTGGGCGTCGCAGAGCACATGGCTTAAGAATAATTTCTTCCAGCCCGGCTACATGTAATCCTCTCTGGCTCTGACCAATACTTCAGAATGGAGTGCTTATTCTGAGCATCTGTTATGCTCATGACAGATTGGTGTTTGATTCCCGTGTGTTTTCCCTACAGATTCGTAGTTGGATTCAGCATATGCATTTTTTATGCTGACATAGGATGTGCTCCACCATCTGTGAACTCCCTCTAGTTGCACAAACCAACCACTGCGGTGCTCTCTCTCTCTTCGAATCAGGCTAATGGGTAGCGCTTGCCAAGCTGGCACGGACGGGCCTTCCCGCAAGGATGCGTTGGGGATAGGGAATGTCGCCTTAGAGAATGGCCACCATGAGGCTGAAGCTGATGCAGATGAATGGAGGGAAAAGGAAGATGACTTGGCCAATGGGCACAGTGCGCCACCGGGCATGCAGCAGGTGGATGAGCAGAAGGAGCAACAAGGACAAAGCATTCACTGGGAGAGGTTCCTACCTGTGAAGACACTGAGAGTCTTGCTGGTGGAGAATGATGACTCTACTCGTCAGGTGGTCAGTGCCCTGCTCCGTAAGTGCTGCTATGAAGGTATGAGCTGCAAATGGTAAAGCTAATTTGATTTGATTTGATTTTTTCTCACAACATGCAGGAGAGCTGCTATCATTATATATTAATAAGAAACTAATTTTGATTTGATTAAATGGGGCATATACCTGGTTCCATAACTCCTACTAGATAGTAAATAAGTTCAGGTCGTAAAAGATAACAAATAAGTTCATATTTATTTCCAGCCTGGATTTATGTTGCACTCGAACTTGCTGTGTCGCAATCTGTCCTCACAAAACGCATAGGATGTAGATTTCAATTGCTTGTTATTGAAACCATCTTTTCTTATGCAATTGCTGGTTGTAGTGTATGTATACATCTAATCTAGCCAAGTAGACAAGCTAGAATTTTTCCCCTCAACTAATGAGAGACTTTGTTTTGGTTGTCCCTTTTTTTAGGGACTAATACGAGACTTCTCTTAACCATTGCAGTGAAGAGGCTGTCTGTAATCACATGGATTGTTAACTTGTGTATATTGCAATTGCTGCTGCAAAAAAGAATTATGATTTTGTAGGGCACTTTTAAAATCAACCACAGCTCAAACATCAACTTGACACCAAGCTATATATAGAATGATGTTGATCTGATGTAATTTCTATAGTAAACAATTATGTGGAATATCAGTGTTCCTTTAGTGAAAGAAGGTTCTCAATGGTGAATGTAACTGTCTTGGTGCATCGATCGATTGGTGCGGTAGACATGGTTAATCTTGATTATACGGTTGTGCATGCATGAGAATGCTTTATAGGTTCAACAGGGACTAATTTGATTCATCTGACTCTCTCATCACATGTTCGGGTGAAAATGGTCCCCCCTGCTAGAATTTTCAAAATAGTCCCCTCTCCCACTGTGGCAGGCCTGAGAGATGTCATGTCTCACCTAATACAGCTCCATAGCATCTTAGATATACACTGATCCCATATTACGGCAGACCACCTGTCTCAACTGCAGTGAATTGGGAGCTTGGTGGGTGGGCTGTTGCAGTATGTTGCACTGCAGGTAGTCTGAGCACTGCTACCCTGTGCCACACACATAATGTGGCCAGGAGTACTGCACTATAGGATTGACACGTCATCTCCTGGGCCTATTGTGGTGGGCCAATGGAATTTCTTTTGCATAGCAAGGGCTGGCTATTTTCATTTTAACAAATAACCAGGGTCTAGGGATCAAGAATGTCACATCATGAGCAAACAGTGAATGCTCTTGCAACATATGGAAGCTGGAAGGCGGTAGTGGTCAATTGAGGGTCTAGATCAATTTGACTCTTTTATATGTCCTATGATTAGTTGCTGGATAAATTACTTAATGCCTTATTGTATTTTTGTACTAGTGAGCATGTACCAAAGAAAAATAGTATCTCTTAGGTGTTATATACTGGTTTCAGCCAACAATACCCCCTTCTTCAATAACTTAAGTTAATTTATTGGTGGTATAAGTACTGACAACTAAGCTCTTATCTATCAAATATGTTGGATCATTATTAATTATAAACTGTAGCTTAACATATTCTTAGCGAACATATTAATTATTGTTTACTAATTGTACTGGCATCATGTTACTGTATAATCCACTTTGCATAAGCAATAAGTAACAATTATTTCTATTTGCGCTGCATTTTGCTTCTTAGAAAATTCTAGCATACAAGAATTGTGAATTTAAGCTTGTACATTTCCCTTTTCTATCGTATGAGCATCAGAAGAACATTCTATTTGACAATGTAGATGCAAGCTATTTTTCTATTTGACAACAGAAAATGGTACTCTTTCTTGCGGATCATTTTGTTAGTTTATTTATTCTTGGACAAATAGGTAGTAAGGTCCACAACTAGAACTGCCTCTATTGAAATCATTTCGCCCTTGACTGGAAAAGCAAAGCATGAAAACTTTGATATATCAAAGCATGACTTTGTGTGATACATATAAGACAAGTGACATGCATGAAATCAACTATTAAATTAATAGCATCCATGCAGCTGCTTTCTGCTAGGTTGCATTAAGACTTTAATGTTTTAAGTTGCTTATAGAACTTTGTTTTTTTCTTGATCATGATTGAAAGCAATGCATCTAAAGAGATTTGACTTAGATTGAACTTGAACTATGTACCCTCCCACTGTCACCAAGTTAGAAATACACCTCTCCTCACCTAGTTTGTTACACTGGTAACCACCAGTCCCTGTGGTACTTCAGATTTTGGATAAACATTGCATACTTTTTTCATGAAATTTCATGGATACTTAAAATGTAGACTTTATCCTTGATGTATTTGGTAATATGGCCAATGTTTTTTTTATGTTATGTCCCTTTTTGAATTATGTTTGATTGTTAATTATTAGCAGTGGAAATTTTATCTATCATCAACATTTAAAAAAGGGTAATTTTAATTGTTTCAGTGTTTTGACAGCAATTTTATCTCCTTCCATTTTAGTTATCCCTGCTGAAAATGGTTCACATGCATGGCGATATCTTGAAAATCTGCAGAACAACATTGACCTTGTATTGACTGAGGTTTTCATGCCTTGTCTATCTGGCATCGGTCTGCTTAGCAAAATCACAAGTCACAAAATTTGCAAGGACATTCCTGTGATTAGTAAGTAGTTTTCCTCAACTCCCCTAATGCACATGAAATGTTATCCTGTTAATTGTGGGTTTAAATACTTTTAGCCGCTACACTGATGTGTTTTGCATGCAGTGATGTCTTCAAATGACTCTATGAGTATGGTGTTTAAGTGTTTGTCGAAGGGAGCAGTTGACTTCTTGGTAAAGCCACTACGTAAGAATGAGCTTAAGAACCTTTGGCAGCACGTTTGGAGGCGATGCCACAGTGTAAGCTGTTTTTTGGTCTAGCTTTTTCTGGATATTTTATTCCACGAAACATGAGGCATGATTTATCCTAAGTCAGGATAGTAACGTGAAGAGAGGCAGAGAAAGACCGAAGTTGACTTGGGTAGAGGCAATAAAAAGATACTTGAAAGGATGGAATATACCCAAAGACTTAGCCTTAGATAGGAGTGCTTGGAAAACAGCTATTCACGTGCCTGAACCTTGATTGCTTCTGCTGGGTTTCAACTCTAGCCTACCCCAACTTGTTTGGGACTTAAAGGCTTTGTTGTTGTTGTTGTTGTTGTTGTTGTAAACATGAGGCATGATTTATTTGACTCCTCACTCTGTGTTTTCTTTGCGATTATCCTCTTTGGTACTCAGTCCAGTGGCAGTGGAAGTGAAAGTGGCATCCAGACACAGAAGTGTGCCAAACCAAATACTGGTGACGAGTATGAGAATGACAGTGACAGCAATCATGATGATGAAGAAAATGATGACGACGACGATGACAACTTCAGTGTCGGACTCAATGCTAGGGATGGAAGTGATAATGGCAGTGGTACTCAAGTATGTGTTCATTCATTGTTCCTAATAGTTAATTTCTTAATCTAACATAATTATGTAGTTGAATTTGAATGTATAGGTAACCATATATATAAGTGGTAGAATACTACTTGGAACAAAATTCATATCACCACAATTTAGGTCATAAAGGTTAGTTATTCTGTGATATATCTGGATATAAGATATTAAATAACCAATTTACATATAGTAATACCACGGTTGATGTAGGAAAATAAAGTTATTTATTGCTTTCATTCAAAACGATTCACTTGGGGGCAATCTTTCTTTCTCAGAAAAGTAATATATTGTCTGATAACTCTCTCTATGTGTAGTGTTTTTATGTCAATGTATTGTCGAGTGTGCCGTAAAAAAAAAGTATTATCGAGTGCACAATCTCTTTTAAAATGCAGAGCTCATGGACAAAGCGTGCTGTGGAGATTGACAGTCCACAACCTATGTCTCCTGATCAACTAGCAGATCCACCTGATAGTACATGTGCACAAGTAATTCACCCCAAATCAGAGATATGCAGTAACAAGTGGCTACCGACAGCAAACAAAAGGAATGGCAAGAAACATAAGGAGAATAAAGGTATCATATGCTCCACAGCATTCATTGTATAGAAGTGAAGCATTTCACAGTTCATACTTCCAGTATTGTCTCATTCAACCAAATTCCATGTTTTTACAGATGAATCTATGGGAAGATACTTAGAAATAGGTGCTCCTAGGAACTCAAGTGCAGAATATCAATCATCTCTCAATGACGTATCTGTTAATCCAACAGAAAAACGACATGAGACTCACATGCCCCAATGCAAATCCAAAAAGAAAATGATGGCAGAAGATGATTGTACAGACAGACCTAGTGAAACAAATACTGAAACTGCTGATTTGATTAGCTCAATAGCCAGAAACACAGAAGGCCAACAAACAGTACGAGCCGTTGATGCACCTGATGGCCCTTCCAAGATGCCCGATGGAAATGATAGGAATCATGATTCTCATATCGAGGTGACACCCCATGAGTTGGGTTTGAAGAGATTGAGAACAGATGGAGCTACAGCTGAAACCCATGATGAGCGAAATATTCTGAAAAGATCAGATCAGTCAGCCTTCACCAGGTGCAAAACATAATATCAGTGTCATTACTAGGTTATTAACATAACAGTAAGTTGCATGCTAACTCGTTATGATTTTTGCAAGGTACCATACATCTGTGGCTTCCAATCAAGGTGGAGCAAGATGTGGGGAAAGCTCTTCACCACAAGATAACAGTTCTGAGGCTGTGAAAACGGACTCTACATGCAAGATGAAGTCAAATTCAGATGCTGCTCCAATAAAGCAGGGTTCCAATGGCAGTAGCAACAACGATGTGGGCTCCAGTACAAAGAATGTTGTTGCAAAGCCTTCGGCTAACAGGGAGAGAGTAACGTCACCATCAGCCATCAAATCTACCCAGCATGCCTCAGCATTTCATACTATACAGAATCAAACATCACCATCTAATCTGGTTGGGAAAGACAAAGCTGATGAAGGAATTTCCAATGCAGTGAAAATGAGCCACCCAACAGAGGTTCCACAAAGCTGCGTCCAGCATCATCATCATGTGCATTATTACCTCCATGTTATGACACAGAAACAGCTATCCATCGACCGTGGATCATCAGATGTTCAGTGTGGTTCGTCAAATGTGTTTGATCCTCCTGTTGAAGGACATGCTGCAAACTACAGTGTGAATGGGGGTGTCTCAGTTGGTCATAATGGGTGCAATGGGCAGAATGGAACGAGCGCTGTCCCCAATATTGCAAGACCAAACATAGAGAGTGTTAATGGTACCATGAGCCAAAATATCGCTGGAGGTGGCATTGTAAGTGGGAGTGGGAGTGGCAATGATGTGTATCAGAATCGGTTCCCCCAACAAGAAGCTGCATTGAACAAATTCAGACTGAAGCGGAAAGATCGGAACTTCGGTAAAAAGGTAGCCTGTTTTAGTAGCTATGACTTGAAATCAGTAATAGGTATTTGAGTGTTGAAGGGCCTTCCACTGAGTATGTCAAGAAAGAGTAGGGATCCAAATGGTTGCACAATTATTATCAGAAAAGATAGAAGTGATTATTAATAATAATCTCTACCTTTGGAGGATATAAAAATGCTTATGCTACTTCCAGCTATGCCTTTTGTATTTTTTAGAAAAACTCCCAGTTATGCCTTAATACTGACAGTGCCAGCATAGGAATACTGAAATAAGTCTTTGAAAGTAAGACATTAGTTGCGCTAAATTTTTCAAGATCTGGTATGGTTTCAAACTATTGTTCTTTTCAAAATTTTGTTTTTCTGACTTCAGTTTTTACAAGATTTTATGGTGATGCCGCTTCATTTTTCTGACTGCTGGCCTGAATACCGATATCTTCTGATGGCCTTGTCTGCCTATTTTCAGGTTCGCTACCAAAGCAGGAAGAGGCTTGCTGAGCAGCGGCCACGGGTCCGTGGACAGTTTGTGCGACAATCTGGGCAAGAAGATCAAGCAGCGCAAGGTTCAGAAAGATGACACGGACCTTCTAATACAACATGGCATCTTCGTCGACAGATCTGAGAATTAGGCGGTTCTTCCCATTGCTGATAGTAACCCATTGATTCCCGACGTTAGAGTACTCAATAAATAAGACTCTAGTTGTCAATTTCTGTTGTCGACTCCAGATGATCACCCTAGTGCTATGGAGTCAAACATGTAATATTTATATATGTTCGAGCCTTGGCGGTTTGCAATCTTCATTTTCCTTGCAGAGATATTCTTGGCCAAGTGTCTTAATGAGGAGCAAACCAGCAGCGTCATTGCTATTATATTACTATACATGCTAATATCAGGATTGAGCTGGAATTCTGCAGTAGTTCATCCATTCATTCGAAGACCGTGTTCCAAATCAACACAAGTAGGGGTTTGTCTCTCCTGTTTCCTTGAAAACGAGAAGTGACTGTAGCGTGAGATGCAAAATAGGTCTCTTATGCTAGATCAAGCTCAATGAACTTGGCTGTGACGAACGCTTTGCAAGCTATGATGACTTGAACGCAAGACTTCACTGAAATGCTGTGTTTAGCAGACGGTACACGAAGAATAGCAGCACCCGTTATGACAACCAAAGTCGTTTCTACTGTAATACAAGTACTCCCTAATGTCTAGTCCCTGGATAGAAGAAGTCAGTACCGTTTTCCTTCACTTTGAAATGGAAGTTCCAAACTTTCTGTGCTTTTGCCTTTTGCTCGCGGAATGTACCCTTGTTCACCACCGACAGCTGCAGAAACATCAAACATTTCAACCACTTCAGAAAAGATTTATCAAAGGGTAAAATGAAAGTTGCGAAACATCAGAATAACATCAAATAATGTGAGTTCATCGAACTACCAGGTCAGCGAATCCAACTAAGCCATCATGGTACAGCTCAAACAAATATGCAGGATCAGGAGCCTAACCTGTCCATGAACATCAGCAGCCAAACCAGTGCTCAAAGGTGCTGCTTTAATCACAAGATCAGCAATGTAGCGCAGATGTAAAAGGAGGCCCATCTTCTCCTCGTCTGCATATATATCCTCGTGGATGAGGACCACTAGCGTGCAATTCTGTCAGGACATGATAAAGCGTAAAAGACATGACCATGACTTAACATCAGTAGCAGTACTGTAGTGTTTGATTGATCAATATTTTACCATCTCAGACGTGAGCGCGAAACAATAGTGCAAGAAATTCAGCACATCGTTTACAGAACCAAGGGCCACAACTTCCAATAGGGAAGCGTCATCTATAACGACGGTGAACTGGCTTGCATTTTCTCCAGCCCTGTTTGCCTCCACCAGTCTTTGAATTTCATTGTACAATCGAACAAAGCTATCAGCAATGGTGCCTTCCCTTGCTCCACCTGCAGTAAAGAAACATAATGAATGGCACCTCCCTATTTAGAAATCATCCAACATTATATGGAAATACACACGGTAATAAAATGATGGCTTGCCTCGGAATCCTAGCAATTCAAAGAAATGAAGCCTCTCGTTCCTCCTATGCAGGGAAAGGTTACAACCCTGGCAAATTTCCAAAGACCAAAAGAAATATGTAATGCAACTGTGTAGATTTTAACTAGAGAAATCCAGCATGCAGTTTCCGATAGAGTGAACAAATTAGAATAATCTCTTGGAAGCAGTCCCAAACCCCATTGTGCCGAACTGCCGACACAAATCTAGAACTTGTGCATTTTATCAGAGTTTTACAAAAGATCAGCATGCACCTCAGCTCACTGTAGTTTATATTGTGTGACTCAGCCAGCACATGAGCTATTACCGCTAGCAAATGAACAGAACTAGCAATTGAAAATTATACCACCTCGCACTGGTTTTGAACACCACCGTGCACGGTTGAAGGTGGCAGAAATTTAGGTATTAGCATGCGCTGCTAATATCAAGAGGCAACTTTATAACAATTCCAAAAGCCATAGGAAGAATAAGGATCATTTATACATCTAATCTAATAATATCGCATCACACACCAAGAATCTAACATTTTAAAATGTTGGTGTGAGATGCCTGACTACACATGTGGACGATAGCATACCAACAAGAGCCTAAAAATCCCATTCTTTTAAAGCCAGATCAAATATGATCCTACCAATTTGGGTCTACTCTAATCCCTAGTTGATCCTATTCATTATGGCATGGACAAAGATGCATTAAGCAGTTTATGCACGCTATTGTAACAGTGAGACTAACATAGGCAATCGGGCATGAAGCCGGTAAGCACAAAACATGTTCGACGAAATGCCAGTGAGGTGAAGAGGCGGCGAGCCGAACCATCTTGCGCAGGACGCGGTCGTAATGGGAGAAGGGCTGCGCAAGGGCGAGGAAGGCAGCCGCGCCGCAGCTGGCGAGCGCGCGCTTGAGGAGGAGGTGGAGGACGAAGGCCCCGGGTGCCTCCACGCAATCCTCTACCACCACCACCCGCGCCGCAGATCCCATGGCCTCGCTCAGGAGGTCTCCCCCTCCGTACTCCTCCATGGTCCCCTAAGCAAAAACCTCTCACTGGAAAAGCAAACACTGTTGTGGCACCCGCTGTGGACGCGACCAGGGGCCGGCGCCGCGGCGCCCGGAGGAGGCGACCAAGGCCCGGCGCCCAAATCCTAGGCGTCGGGCCCAGCCTTGTGTGGGGCAGCCGACGCGGAGCGGAGGGAGAGGGTTGGACGGGCGGAGGCGGCCACCGGCGGCGGGCGGGCTCCGGTGACAGGCGGCGGCGGAGAGACTGTCACGGTCGCGACTCGCAGTCGCGAGAAAAACGAGCGCAGAACCTAGCGGGCTACGCGTCCTTGGATGGAATCCTGGACACGACAGGGCAGTTTCAGACTTTTCCGTGGCCTGATCAGTGAGATGAGAATATTGAAAATAGAAAATTAGAGAAAATGAGAGAAAACCCTCGTATAGAAAGAATTTCATGTGTTCAGACCTTCAGGGTCAAATATTCAAAGGCCTGCAAATTGGATGTCAACGTTGAGAGGCGTGCGAATTATGGGTTAAATATATAAATTTCTCAGCGGAGGGGAGCAGACGGTGGCGACGACGTACTCCAACTCTCCATGCTTCCGGAATCCGGATGGGTACCCGAGTAGGGGCAAGTGGTGCGGGGTGGGCTTTGCGGCTAACCCGCCAGATCAACCTGCACGGCTAGCCCATATAGCCCGTCAAGCGAGCCCACATAATCGAAGTGGTCCATGCTGGCCTGCCCACAGAAACATGTGGCGTTGCAAGCTTAGATCGTTCGGTGTTGTGGCGCTGCAAGCTTGGATCGCTCGGTGTCGTGACAGTGACGAGACGACGAGATTGCCTCCACAGCTCTGCATCCCCCGCCGCCGATCACCCAACATCATACTTCATGCAACACTTCTAGCCCCAGTGCTCTCTAGCCCAGCTTGTCCTAGTCCGGCCTTAAACTAATCTCCCTCCATTGTGCTTTTGTCTTTCTATAATAAATTTACCATAGATTATTCCCTAATTGAAAAAATATATATAGAAAAAACTTGACCACCTAAAGGCATGCCCTCCCCACACTTTGCGGTAAGGGACTCCATAGATAATTAAAACTAGGATATATAAGTGCTACTAAAGCAGTGTTACTACTATAACATAAGCTACTTCACAAAAAATTCATAGGGGAGACACCATTGGTGGAACAAGGAGATGTCAAGGCAAGTTCTAGCTTGGATCCAAAGTCGTCAAGGGGTTGAGGACCATGTGGAGCATCGCCTAGGCTGTCAACACTTCATCTTGGAATGGCTCTGGTAGCATCTCTGCCACGGGGAAATCGAGCGAAAATATGGCTAATGACAATGGAAGTTGGTGGTGAGCACATGTACCAAGCGTGCAGTTGTGGCAAACCACTTTCGCGCTTTTTGGCGGATGTGGTATAGATCATCGCGACCTACTTCACCTATATCCCTTTCTCCTTTCTCCTTCCTCCTATTTTCCTCTTCTCGGAAAAAGAAAGAAACAAACAAAGACATGGATTACACAACTCAATCTAAAAGACGTATACTCTAAGCTAGACGTGTACTTTGCCTTGTTGTACACACGGTCGCAAATTCTACTGCCGTATAATTCTTTGTATGTGTGTAGCTGCTAGACTCTAGCTCTAGCTTGTCGACATTCCTGATTGATCCTGCATGCTAGCATCTTGCCAGCGGGCGTGGAATAGCCGGAACTTGTTGATGTCGTGTAACTTTAAAATTTTCCTGTCTGCTTAATGAAATACAGGTTGCGGCCTGATCGAAAAAAAGCTAGACGTAACACTACACAAAAATATTATACATGTGTATATTACTGCATTGTAGACAAATAATTATATGCACTACAATTGCTTCAAATAGTTAGTGCTAGCACTTTATATCTTGTATACTTCATAATTTTTTGATATAAAATTGCATACTATATATAAGTATGAAAGATGTTTTGTGTCTATCAAATCAACATATGAAGGTTGATGTATTGTCTCCTTCCTCGAGCATGCAACAATCTCTCTTCATAAGTTCCATGTTAGCCCCTGCCTCATGCCACTACATCACTGTCCTCAGCCACCACATCTAGCCTTGTGGGCCCCATGCGTCCGAACCCAATATCTCGCTAGGCGCCTCCCCCACCCCTCACCCTACACACACCACACAAAAAAATCATGTCCATCTCCATTGCTAGGTCGTCTCGCCTACCTATAAACCTTCTAAGCCTATAGGCCACACCAAAGACTTGACAACCCTCGCCTCTAACAAGAATAAGCTCGACATCTAGGTTCAAGCTTTGTTGTCTTAAATCTTGAGAAGGTTTCAAATGTGTACAAGTTTGAAATGAAACGGTAAACAATCAAAGAGATAGATAGGTTACTAGAAATAAACTAATAATAACATATATCCATTATAGACACTTTTAGTGCATGTTCTGAAACGAATTTACCTAATTAACTTATGTTGGTTATTCACGAGCATGGAGTAACACTCATGATTTCTACACATAAACTCAACACTCACA